GCACACACATGTGATGTGAGCAAGTTTTTAATTTTTTATATGCACAGCACACGTGTGTGAGCGTAAAATGGTAGGATGTGCTGCGCATATGTGTGCAAATACGAACCCTGGTATTTTCTTTAACTGCATCTACAAACCAGGCTATACTTTTAATTCAAAAAATGTAAATATTTCAAAAACGGGTGACACTTTTACCTGAAAATTTTTTGTTAATCGGGGAGATCACCCGCCCACCTACCTTCCCCTAAAGTTTGGCACGTTACTTCTGGGACACCCTGTATAAAGTGAGTATATTACATTATATTGGGATAGTTTTACAATATTCAAACAACTTTATTTTAAACTCATTCATGTTTTTACATTGCTTGACAGTATTTGGTAATTCATTGCAACATTTAAGGCCCTTGTAGTAAAGATTACATTTATCAGATTCGCTTTTTAACGTAGGTAAATTGAAGTAATTTTTTTTATGTGTATCTTTGTTGTGCGGCACCCTGAAATTGTGCATATGGAAACTGTGTATACGAAATAATGCATATGAAAAAAACCGAAATAATGCATACGAAAAAAACCGAAATAATGCACATATGTACAGTTTCGGTTGAAAACCGAAATAATGCATATGAAAAAAACCGAAATGATGCATATATGCACAGTTTCGGTTGAAAACCGCAATAATGCATATTAGAAACACCGAAATTATGCATATGCACTCTTTCGTTTCAAAACCGAAATAATGCATATGAAAAAAACCGAAATAATGCATATACGCACAGTTTCGGTTGAAAACCGAAATAATGCATATGAAAAACCCGAAATAATGCATACATGCACACTTTCGCTTGAAAACCGAAATAACGCATATGAGAAAAACGAAGTAATGCATACATGCACAGTTTCGGTTCAAAACCGAAATAATGCATATGACAAAAACCGAAGTAATGCATACATGCACAGTTTCGACTCAAAACCGAAGTAATGCATATGACAAAAACCGAAATAGTGCATACATGAAAACGAACTTCTTTCTGAGTAGGCGGCCTTCGGCCGCGCTTAGGGATTATAACCCTTACTAAGTAGAATTCTCCTTTCTGTGTTGCCGGAAAAGGGGGCCGGAAGTATTTTTGCACAGAACTTCTTTCTGCGTAGGCGGCCTTCGGCCGCGCTTAGGGACTACAACCCTTACTAAGTAGAATTCTCCTTTCTGTGTTGCCGGAAAAGAAGGGCGGAAGTATTTTTGCGCAGAACTTCTCTCTGCGTAGGCGGCCTTCGGCCGCGCTTAGGGATTATAATCCTTACTAAGTATAATTCTCCTTTCTATGTTGCTGGAAAAGTGGGCCGGAAGTACTTTTGCGCAGAACTTCTTTCTGCGTAGGCGGCCTTCGGCCGCGCTTAGGGATTATAACCCTTACTAAGTAGAATTCTCCTTTCTGTGTTGCCGGAAAAGGGGGCCGGAAGTATGTTTGCGCAGAACTTCTTTCTGCGTAGGCGGCCTTCGGCCGCGCTTAGGGATTATAACCCTTACTAAGTAGAATTCTCCTTTCTGTGTTGCCGGAAAAGAAGGGCGGAAGTATTTTTGCGCAGAACTTCTCTCTGCGTAGGCGGCCTTCGGCCGCGCTTAGGGATTATAACACTTACTAAGTAGAATTCTCCTTTCTGTGTTGCCGGAAAAGGGGGCCGGAAGTACTTT